TGCTGCCCCACCCGGCCACCCTGGGTCGGGTCGCAGATAGCAGGCCCGGATGGCGGCAGGGCAGGCGGGATGGCGCTGTTCCGCCCTGCCTGCAGTATGCAAATTAGCTGCCGTCTTTGTTGGCAGTTAATTTGCATATCGTGCTGATTAGCCAATGGGAGGTGTAATGAAGGTACAGTCAATTACCATATTTGTCTATTATTAGATAGGATTTTAGGTCTATTTCTAATGAAAAAGTTAATCTTTTTAATTATTAGGTATGAAAATAAAATGGGCTTTATTTGATAAATAAAGTAAGAAGGAACAATGTGGTGTAGTGATGTGGCTACAATTAATAAAGTATAGCTTGAAGACTTTAAAATTGTTTTGAAAACTAGCTTTTGATCTCATGTTTTTCTATGGTCCTAATTGGTGATACTGCTGTAAAGGAGCAAGGTAACTTCTAGCTAAAAGGATGTCAATGAACTTCTGCTTCACACTTGTACCCTTTAAGATAGATTTAGCTCATGTAACCAAAACAAACAAACTCAAAAAACCACCGTCAGTAGAACTCAAATGACTTAAATGAGCTAGAAGTTGATTTCTCTCACTTCTCTCTCGGGTGAAAGCAGTCCAGAGGCAGGCAGTCCAGGGCTGGTATAACTGTTCCACAAACATCCAGCCGAGCCTCCCTCCTTGCTGTTCTGCTAGCCTTGGTGTGAGGTCTTTTCCTCTGAGATGGGTGCTTGGGCTCATGTTCATTGATAAACTCTGACCTTGGCAGTTGGCTGCCAGCAAAGATGCAGGCCTGACTGGGTGACATAATCCTCGCTTGGGCATATAAATTATGTAGCAAAGGCAAACTAGCTACTACAGTCCTGCGGCAGGCGCCTCATAGGTGCAGCACACCACCTCTATCCAGCCTAGATGTTACCTGCAGTTAGTGATATGCACTTAGCTTGCCTATGTGGGTCAGACAGTTCAGTACCAGGCAATTTGGTGAAAAGACCTAACCTCATTTCTCCTGCCCTGAACCACATCCCTCAGAGCTTGGACTCTGCTGGGTCAGGTTTCCTGTTTTATAATAAAACATATTCACTTGGCTTTTGATCTTTGATCTTCTAGTGTTTTTCTCTAATATCCTTGTGTACACTTTGCAGCCGGCGTGAAGGGGGAAGGGAAGATCACCCTCCTCTTTTAAGGACACTGCTGAGAAGTCACACTGCTCTTCCAGTTACATCTCATCGGCTAGAACATAGTCACATGGTTGTTAATTTCAAGGGAAATAGTTTTCTGGATGGGAGATAATGGACTCAGCAAAAAAAGCCTCTGGAGTTCTTGTTACTAGCACACTTTGAAATAATACTCAAAATGCTAACTCATGATAATATTAAGAAAAACGACTATATAACCTCATCAAGGCTCTCAAATTGTAAATATAAGTTATTATTCTATGGCATTTAATTACTGGTTAGGTGCTGTTTTTCCTTTCTTTTTTTAGTATCTCTGTGATTTCATTCCTCCCACCTCCTCATTTCCAAAAGCAAAACGAATTTTATTTTTTCTTATAGGACTTTCCGTGACATTTCTGAAGATCTGAAATCTTCAGTAGACTGACATGGCTTCTGCTTCAGTGATTTCTCTAGGAAGTTCAACCTTGACTGTGAGTTCAGCTCAGCAGTGTCTCCTGTCCTTTCGGCTGTGCCTAGCACGCAGAGCTGGGGGAAGAAGCAGAGTCTCCTGGCCTTCCTACAGAATGCGTGGACAAGAGCGACCTTGCTGTGAGCTGCTTTGCATTTTAAAGCACAGCTTTAGAGCTCCGAGATGTGGTTTGCTCACCTAACTGTTGCTCAGATGGCTTAGTTAAGAGTTTCAGTGTATACACTGGTACCATGGCTTGAAATTTACCCCCTTTGCTTATCTGTATTATTATAATATGTATTTATAAAGTCATTTTTTAAGAGCCCTAAACTACCTACTGTTAAAAGGACATACATGTAATTTTTCTCCTGTTTTAAGAAATCTGTTCATAAACTTTTCTACAACAGTCACTTTTCAATGAAAAGGGCTTTCACTTTTGAGTACGTAGTTGCTTGAGCAGGAAAAATGTGTCTTCTACCCTTTTCCCACAATGTGTGGTCCTCTCTAAGGAAGAACCAATCTTCCGTGTAAGGGCAGGTGGCTCACTTCAAGTTCAGTTAGTTGTGTGTTGCAACCAAAGGAGAGACAGACTGATTGAAGATCTCTCTCCCCTTTCTTCTGCTCCATCCCCCCATTACACTGTTGCCAAATTTCTAAAACTTGGCAGACCAATGGCATTGAAGTGAAATACATGTCAGCTGCTATTAGTGGTAACAATATGATAGAATTCATGTTGGGGTTTTTTTCTTTCCAAATGTTTCAAGTGAAAAATCTCAGGTGCACCAGTACTCTGATTTGTTAAATGTATCCCTGCTTCACCATTTGGAATTCTGCCACTTGGTTACTTACAGACCAGAATTTTGTATTTATGTAGTATTTTCCCATCACTTAGCGCAGTGCCTTGCACGTGAGACTGAGATGAATGCCTGTTGAATTACATTGTAACTTCTTAAATTTATCGGATATCACAATAACCAGCATAATGCTTTACATTTTACAAAGTCTCTTTGCCTGTAATTATTTCACAACAACTTCACATAACCTTTCATACAGCATTATGTTGTTTTATAACAGTTTCACACATGATGAAGCTAAGGTTTAGAAAACTGACCAACTGAAAGTCATAAAGTTCAGTAAGATTTGACCTCAATCTTCTGACTCCGTAAGTCTGCAAACTCTGCTTATGCTGTAGTGTTTCTTCTACTACCTTACAGTTTTCCGTGCTGTGAGATAGAATAGGTGTCCTTGGACTTGTCCTCTGTTCATGAGGGCTGGGACTAGAACCCAGCTCCTAGCTCTGTGCCCTTGCCACCAGATAAAACAATCCTCAGGCTCTGTCTCTGCCCCCAGGGGAATGTGGAGGAGAAAGGTTTCTTAAGAATCAGAGATCACCGGTTTGGAAAACACTTAAAAGTAGAAATTATTTTATCTCAAACACTTTTTCACTAAAAAGCACAGTTAGTATAACTAGCTTAAATTTATTTTGATATTAAGAAAAACTCCATTTAGAAGAGAGGCTACCATGAAGTCTTTGTTTATACAGTAGACTCTGCACATCTCGAATTTTTCTTATGAACCCTTCAACAATTATAATTTGATATAACACCGATGTTACATTTGGCCACTAATTACTTTCTCTAGTTAGTTGTTTAATCATTTATTCAGTAAAACATTTGCTAAGAGTTTGCCAAGCTCTAGGCCCAAGCCAGGCACTGTACAGGGTGCTGTAGGGGATAACTCATAAGCAGGCCTTCTCTTTCGGTAAATCTTAGCCAGATCATGTGTATTGCTAAGACAAAAAATTTGCATTAAAGGGGTTAAAAAAGAATTCGGGTTTGTATTTGTTAATTGTATACTGGTAAGTTTATAGCTGTAATTTGCACGCATTCACAAGAGGTAGATGTTGTACACAATGAGTTGGGTGCCTATACAGATTATGTTCTTTCAAAGTGCTGGTCATAATTATTCATAGGGATACCAGGTTGTTAGAGGGGGGACTCTGAGCTCTAAGAGACGAGGTTAGAGCTGCCAGAATGAGCAGTTATGTAATAACACCTTGGGACAGCAGGAACAGAGGTGCCCTAGTGCTACCCAGGCCTGATCAGGAATGGAAGTGCCCCAGCACTCCAGCCGCTGCATAAGGACAGGGAAGGCTGGCCGGCTAGGGGAGGTCTTCCTGGAGCCCTCACAAACATGCCCCCCTCAGGTATGGTGAGGGTGTGCAGAATCTCCACAGAGCATAGAGATCAGGTGGTATGAAAAGGTAGGAGTCTCAAGCTCAAGTTTTAAAGATGACCAGCCCTCTGATTCTCAGGTCGGATCTGACCCAGAAAGAGGGAGAAAATGCATCGATGAAGTAGAAGTAGCTTCAATAAAAACTGAGTTCAGAAATCCTATCACAATGTCTTGCCTTTTACAGCTCGATTAAAGATTAGTTTTAAGTTCGAATTCACTATTCGGTTATAAACTAAATGGAGGAGATAAAAACTCCCCACACAAACATGCTCCTCCCTTCCTCAGAGAACAGGCCTGTGGTATTCAGCATAAACTCCATATATCAGTCCTGCTTCAGTTCCAAAATTCTTACCATACTCTCTGTTCCTGGAAGTGACCTCTGTCAGACTGCTTTAGATACCAGTCTTATTTATTTTTTTCCATTTGCAAGGAATCCTAACACGCTCTTCCATAAGAGGTGGTGAGCTGGCAGAGTGTTCCCTTGACCTCTGAGACTGGTGTAGAGCGACCCTGGGCAGTGGGAGGATATCCAAGAACTGTTATGGAGATGCTGTATTTAAACAAACTCAGTAGCTCTTGGAAATGGCAGCTGTTTATTCCAGTTAAAAAGGGCTGCTCCAGGGCTTACAGATAAAATCCTCTGGCTGACCTTGGTCTTAGCAGGAACCCATCAGTGACCCTTCAGGACTTCCTAGTACCACTAGTTCTCACTTTCATTGTATTTAGCGTTTCAGGAAGTGTCCCTGCTGGGCAAGAAATACTCAGAAATTCAGGCCATGGGGGTTACATTAGAGAAAAGTAATTTTAGGTGAGCTATCTGTGGCTTTCCACCCCAGGTTTATAGGAAAAACCCCTTCGGAACTTCCCATACTCTGGTCCTGACCTGAGGGTCTTACAAGAATTTTACAGTAGGCACTTCACAGTGGAAATAGCCTCTGAGAATAAACTTACACATGCTAGTTCCGGCTAAAAATAAGTACTTTTGTTTTTATTGTTGCCTTTACATAGTTTCCAATCAAAATATATTCATTTTATTAATTTACTGAGGACCTGCAAAAAAATGTGCATACTATCTGAAACACTGAGCAGTTATTTTTTGATAGACCTGATTTACAGTTCTTTTATTTTTAAACTGTCTGTCTATTGGCATCACAGACATTCTGTGCTAGAATGGGCCTTATATAATTACGTGGTTCTGTCATTTTCTAGAGAAGGGAACATATCCACAGGTCCAAGCGGCTTTTCTAACACACACAGCCAGTTAGGAACAATTCAGAGTAGAGTACACTTCTCTTTCTCTCCCAGTCCATTGTTCTACTTCTCTTTCCCTTTTCCTCATAGTCGAGTAGCTCTTGGAAAAACATGTTTCTTGTAGCAGTTGTTCAAATGGATGTTATGAGATGGTATCAGAGAATAAAGTGTGCATGGGGGAGGGGACGCCAAGGTCAATTAAAATTGAGAAATGCTGGGTTTGTTTTCTTCCTATAGGACTTTTCAGAGTTTTTGACGTGCTATTCTATATTGTGAATTTATGAGAGGGGACAAAGACTGTGTTCACTTAGACTTATTTGACCTTAAACTGCAGCCCCATCCTTCTTTTTCTCAGAGCATCTCAAAGTACTACTGGTCCTTTGGGAAACATAGCTCTACAGTAAGTTTACAGCTTTTGTATAAGACATCCTTAGTGGAATTTCTGAAAGGTAAATCTATTACCATGGTACCCTGTAGTCGTAACAAATCTCAAAGTTTACTGAGAATACTAGAAAGAAAACATATTTGCCCTTCGGAGCTATATGTAAAGTATAAGGAGTCTTACCACCTATGGTGCATAAAATCAGTATTTGTGTTTAGTTTTGCAAGTTTTTCAAGGATCAATTAATGTGCAGATACAGTGGTGATATATTGTTATTACATTTTAATAATGCTTTTGTGTGGCACTTTATTGTTTTCAGGTTGCTTTCATAACAACCCTGTGAGAAAGGCAGGTGTTAAGTATTATCAGATGAGGCACTGGAGGCTCAGAAAGGTTTTTGTGGCCCCCCCCCCCCGATATTATAACACAAAGTAATGGAGCCAGAATTCAGTTTCAGAATTTCTGACTCCAAGTCCAGAGTTATTCACACCTGGTTTCTTGTTTTCCTTCTAGCTTTATATTTTACAGTGAAAGGTGTGGAAGCAATTCTTAAAGTAACATCATTTTGGCTTATTATCAAACACTGTTTCTTCTTTATTGCAGTGACTCAGAATTTAAGGAGTATTACAGCTATCCCAAAGAAAACCCTCCTTTTGTCCCTTGCACTGCCAATTTGTTTAGGTGACTGGAGTGTATAACAGGCACCATTTGATTTCGAAACCAAGATTGGATATGTAATTGTGATTGCTTATGTAATTTTGGAAACTGTACCATCTCTGCATTCTCAGGCAAAGTGGAGATGAGATGGTGTGAAAGTAAAAAAGAGAATATTCAAATACAATACACCTTTGTTCCCTCACAAATGCTGTTTCTTAGCTTTAACTTGCTTTGACAACCTACTGATGTAAGTACTTTGTAAATGTAAAATATTTATATTTTGAAATAAAATAACTGGTGTTGAATGAATCAGGTGGTAAACTTAGTCTCATTTATGTTGAGAAATTTGATCTTTAGTGAAGTCACAAATACACTGTCTCTTGGGTCTTAAACTTCTCCTTTGGCACCAGTGCTTACACTGAAGTTTTATGAAATAAGGGTGACTTACAAAGGAAGATGTATGTGAGGAGTGGATGCTCAGCACCTTAAAGAGGTAAAAGGATCCAAGCTGAGGTTGGAGCCCTCAGTACCCAGGATAAGGTGGCCTTAAGCTGGGTGGATAAGGAAATGATGAGGTGGATGGCTGAGGAGTAAGAAATCAGAGGGGGGAAAGTTGTATAAAGGAACTGTACCTTTTGAATGAACAAAATAAGCCTAAGTTATGGCTTTATTCAATACCAGAGACACAGGTGCAGGCCTGGCACCTATGCCTGGCAGCTCCAACCGGCAGACAGCTGAACCCACGGTGGAAGTCCTGTGAAACACGTTTCAGTGATGCTTGTGAAAGAGCTTGCTGACACCTCGAGTTGGCGGTGTTCAGCTCATCAACCTGACATGGATGGAGAAAGGATCCTGGCTGAGGTGTAAGGGTGGACTAGCCAGTCACACAGTTTTTCTACTCTCACGGTTTCTTGTTGGCAGATGATGCCTGTTCCCAAAGCATTTCTTGGTGCATCTCAGTCCGTTGCATAAGGCTAGACCCCTGCAAAGGAGTGTGCTCCTGACAACCTCCTTCGGCTTTACCCTGGAATGCTTTGCCCTGGAATCCACAGGCAAGGGGTATTCAGCGCCCCCCCCCCCCATGCCAATCCCGCAGGGGCTCTGTGCTTCTCAGCCTCACCCTTACCGAGTTTAGTCAGAAGTAAACACTAATGATCTGTTCAGGCAATGAACAGCTGCTAAGGAACTGTTCTGTGCTGGGCACCAGGGGAAAAATAATTTTGAAAAGTGGTTTTAAAAAGTAATAGTATTGAACTGTAGGTGAAGCTTTTCCATATGCTCTATTTAATTTCCTTTTCAAGAGTAATTCCGAACAATAGCCTGAAAGATACCCGATACTCCTTAATTGCATAATCAAATATCTCATCTTCAATCTAGCTCCAAGTATTGTGAGAAAGGTACAGTCGCAAAAGGAGCCGCGTGGCTGGGAAATGGGACCCCAGAAGCCCTATCACCAGTGGAATTCCCGCCGCAGGGCAAACGCCCTCCCTTGAGACTTGACTCTGGTTCTGCCCTCCCAGTTAGTTTCAACCCCAGCGCAGCTTCTGCAAATTGTCGCTGAATGGGAGTTAGGAACGAGTCATCGATCCCAGGACCCCAGGACGGGCAGCTTTGCTGGGGACGCTTGTCCTTGTCGTGGTCAGAGGCCGCGGGAGGCCCTCGGGTGACCTGTTGATTCCAGTGGGGCGAGACGTGCGTGGGAACCACTGAAGAGTGGTCTCAGGAGACAGACGGGGAGGGGCCCGGGTTAGGGGCGGGGCCCGGGCTAGGGGCGGGGCTTCGGGGCGAACCCCAGACAAAAGAGTTTTGGT